ATTTCTTAAAATCTTTTTAAGAGAGACATGGGCAGCAGAGGGCGCTGTGCCGCGGGAAGTCAGAGGTGGTACTGATTTCTTTTTCGCTTCCCTTAGTGGAGAACGCGTCTCACTGCGACTTTCTTAAACTTCGGAACATGTTGATTCAAACTCATATGCAAGACCTGAAGGATGTGACCCACGAGGTTCATTATGAAAATTACCGCGCACAGTACATTCAGAGTCTCACCAGACCCGGGGCTCGGGATCGCAGTAGCCGCGCGTAAGTCCGCTTTGGGACTTCGGAAAATGGGAATTTAGCTAAGAGAATTCAGATGAGGAGGTCAAGAATGAATCAAGGGACTGGCTGGGATTGTATGGCCTAGGGCAGAGGTGGGGGACTTTGGCCCCTGGCTGGGGAATTCTATGAGTCCATGCACCTTAAAAGTTGCCAAATCTGAAAAACACCAATTTAAACACGGGTTGTCCTCGACGTTCGACCACAATTGGGTTCAAAATTTATGTTGTTCAGTGAGACATTTGTTAATTTCTTGCCACAGTTGTTAAATGAATCACTGCAGTTGATAAGTTAGTAACCTGGTTGTTAAGTGAATCTGGCTTCCCCATTGACTTTGCTTGTCAGGTCACAAAAGGGGGATCAGATGACCCTGGGACACTGCAACGGTTGTAAACATGAGTCACATGCCAAGCATTTGAATTTTGATCACATGATCATGGGGATGCTGCAAAGGCTGTAACTGTGAAAAGCAGTCATAAGTCACATTTTTCAGTGCTGTTGTAACTTTGAACAGTCACTAAATGAACCGTTGCAAGTCGGGGACTACCTGTAAAGCATAAATAAGCAAATCATAGATACATACATAGTAAGAATGTGACCCAGTGAAATTTAAAACTCTTGTTTCACTAGGAAACTGTCACGCCAGAGTGCCACTGACCTGCCTGTCCTGCCGATGTCCGAGACAGAGAAATTAATTCGCGAGAAGGATGAGGAGGTAAGTCACAAAGAGAAACATGACCATTGTGCAAATTTTTGCACTTCCCTGAGGGACTGAATTTTCTAACTATGCAAGCGATAGAGTTGATGGCAAAGGAGAATTGATGGACATCTGCAACATTCCGTCTCATTTTTCCTGCTTGATTTCCATCTAAATTGCAACCTTTTAGTCTTCCGAGGTGGTCCAGACAAGAAACACATCCACAAACTCTGCTTTATTCTAAGATTATATTGACAGAATCTTGCAAGTCTGAAAGAACATCTCTACCCCAGGGGTGAAATGTAAAATTTGTTACTACTGGTTCTGTGGGCGTGGCTTGGGGTGTGTGTAATGTGACTGGGTGGGTGTGGCCAACTTTAAAAAAAAAAAAACTTTTAAAAGCATTTTTTCTACAACCTCTTCAGCCGAAGAGGCTGTTTAAAAAATGCTTTTAAAAGGTTCTGACGATCCCAGCTGAGTTGCCTGATCATCAGAGGCTTTTTTCTTCTTTTAAAAGCATTTTTTTCTACAACCTCTTTGGCCTCTTCAACCTCGGCTGAAGAGGTTGTAGAAAAATGCTTTTAAAAGCCTCTGATGATCCCAGCTGTGCCACGGGATCATCAGAGGCTCTTTTTTTTTTTTTACTTTTAAAAGCATTTTTTCAGCCGAAGAGGTTATAGAAAAAAGGCTTTTAAAAGTAAAAAAAAAAGCCTCTGATGATCGTGCGGCTCAGCTGGGCATGGTGGTGATGGTGGGGGCGCAGGGATTTTTGCTACCGGTTCTCCGGAACCACCCACCGCCATCGCTACCGGATCGGGTGATCCAATCCGAACTGGGAGCATTTCACCCCTGCTCAACCCCCTCACCTTTACAGCCTAAGAAACTGGGGAGAGTCATTCCAACACACCATTACAAAATTAGATGCAAAAAAAGATCTCCCAGAGAAAAGACAAAGCACTTTCTCCCATTTCCCTTACAGAAGACAAATATAAAGAATATTTGTAGCTCAGGTTTGACATGTGGAATCCTTGGTGCTCTCCAAGCTCGGTTGTTTTCTTGCAGACATTTCATTACTCAAATTATGTAAGAACATCAGTTGCTAGTCAGTGTAGCTTACTTCCTTTTTATATTTATTTTTATATATTTCATATTTATAAACCACCCAACTCCTTCAGAGGGACACACTCGCTTATATACTCACTAGCACTGATGATCCCAAAGGTGCTTTTTGTTTTTCCTTGAAGATGTTTTACTTCTCATCCAAGAAGCTTCTTCAGTTTTGACTAAATGGTGGGGCATGGAAGGATTCATGTACTTTGTAGTCATCTGGTTCTCTTTCTAGGAGTCGTTGAGGCTACTTGGAGGTTTATCTGTGCCCTCAGGGTCACCTGAGTAGTGCAAATGGGTGTGGAACCTTTTTTGAACTGCTGAAAGGACTGTGTTACACCTTTGGGATAACCATGACATGAATGTCTAAACCAGGGATGAAATGCTACCGGTTCTCTGGTTCAGGCAAACCGATAGCAATAAAAACTACCAGTTCGGGCGAACTGGTAGTGTTAAAAAAAAAAGAAAAAAGCTACCGGTTCAATTGAACCGGTAGTTAAAAAAAGCTACCGGTTCCTCCAAACCGGTATTTCCGACGATCAGCTGTGCCGCGTGATGTAGCTTTGCTAGAAAGCAGGAAATCCTGCTTTCTAGGGAAGCTAAATCACGCGGCACAGCTCATCCCTCCCCTTGCTGTTCTACTTACCTTCCCAAGGCTCCTTTTGGCGCAAACTGTTTGGAGTATACTGTGTATGCACATGCACAGCATGCACTTGGTGCGTGGTGAGTGAACCGGTAACAAACTAGTTCATATTTCACCACTGGTCTAAACCATAAATATTTAGCACTGATAATGTTACCTAGCTGGGTAATGAAACGACTGCAAGGAAACAACTAAATTCAGCAGGGACCTCACAGAAGACAAATGTGTTTCATAATTGCCAGCCACAGAGAGGGAAACGCAAGTCCCTGCCCTCTTAGGAAGGTTAGGTACAGGTTGGATGATTGTCTTTGCCCAGGGCAATCCACCAACTTCCCAACCCAAATCTCAGCCGGTCTTGCCTAATAGTCTCAGGCTGCACTGTGAGCACAAATTTCATTTCTCCATTGCGTTTCCCAGCTTCGTCGGATGCAGGAAATGTTACGAAAAATGCAGGAGCAGATGCTACAGAACAAGGGAGAACAATGCGACAGCTTGTGAAAGTCTCTTTTTCCAATAATCAGCGAAATCCATCCAGTGGGAGAAACCTCCTGGCTGATCTTTGGGCCAGAGAAGTCCACCAGCTTTGGAAAATACCAGCTCTGGCAAGTGTGCATTTGAAGAAGTAGAAAAGGGAATTCTTTCCTTTGCTTCTCTCCTCCTTTGACACAGATCTCTTTTCCCATCCATTAAGACCCTGAGCATTTCTCACCCGCCAGCATAGTAGTACTTCAATAATAATTCAAAACCCTCCAATAAAATGCAATTTTTGGATCTGTGCCAGGCCTGGAATTCTTAATGCAGTTATTCTTTCCCAATTTCTTTCTTATAAGGTATTTATATCTAAAGTATGATCCATTCATGATTTGGGATTGAGTCGTGTCCAAATCAAATACAGGTAATACTCGACTTATGACCATAATTGAGCCCAAGATATCTCTTGCTAAGTGAGACATTTGTTAATTATGAATTTTACGACCAATTTACAACCTTTCTTGCCACAGTTGTTAAGTGAAGCACTGCAGTTGCTAAGTTAGTAACACAGTTGTTAAGTGAATCTGGCCTTCCCATTGATTTTGCTTGTCAGAAGGTGATCACATGATCCCAGGACTTCAATCATCATAAACACGAGGCAATTGCCAAGTGTCCGAATTTTGATCACGTGACTATGGGGATGCTGCAATAGTCATAAATGTGAAAAATGGACATAAGTCACTCTTTCTGGTGCCACTATAACTTGGAACAGCCACTAAATGAATGGTTGTAAGCTAAGGACTATCTGTAGCTGCTTTTCAATAGGACCCAATCATTAATCCAAATCTGTTTTATTCAGGATCATTTTATCAGGACACCTTGGGCTGAACTGACACAACTCACTGAACTATTTTGTTCCTTTTGTATATGGAGGAGTGTTTTTTGCGATGGCAGGCAAACCCATCACAATTAAACCATCATCTTAGTTTAACATGAGAATCAAATATTTTCAACAATATCTACAGATCTTCTGCAAGAATGCTGAGATATTAGAGTTCAAGAATTGGTAAGAAGCCACAAAAAGATGACACTAAAAAAATTAACTCTTAAATTCTCAGCTTAATATTATACAGGTAGTCCTCAATTTACAACCTTCATTCAACAACTGAAGATACAACGGCAGTGAAAAAAGTGTCTTACGAACAGTTCTTGCCCTTAGGACCTTTGCAACTCCATGGGGATGTCATCAAAATTTGGATGTTTGGCAAGTATTTATGGTTGCAACATCCCGAGGTCAAGCTTTCCTAGCTGGTCTCTGACAAGCAAATTCAATGTGAGAAGCTGGATTCACTTAACAATTGTATGACTCACTTAACAACTGCAGTGATTTGCTTAACAATCATGGCAAAAAAGATCATGACTTTGGGCACACTTCACTTATACTGCTTAGCAACAGAAATTCTGGTTCCAATTGCGATCGTTAAGTTGAGGACTACCTGTAATAGGCAGAATCAGAACAGTTTATTGGGTGATCAAGGATAGGAATGTGATGGAGGGGATACTGAAGTGCTGAAGAAGAAAATAGGTATCCATTTCTATCCACAGTATCTCCCACATCACATTTGTGCTACAACCTCATGACACGTGCTCAGGTTTCTGCACCTGTGTTACAATATCATACACACATGTGCTGCCTATACATTGTACTGTCACGTGCATGTAAGGGGATGACCCATTTGTACCATGACATCCCTCATCCTTTCTGCCCACTTTGTAGGAGCAAATGAATCAACACAGAAAAGGTGTATCTAGCAACTTCTTGGAATTTTATTATTTTACAACGGTAGCCTTGTTATGTTGCCAGTTTGGGCAGGAAAACCACCACAGCCACTTCATTCTTCAGCCTCTCGCCAATTTTTCCCTCAAAAATGCCCCCCAATTGTTTTTAAGACCCAAAGGGAATACCAAATGAAATGTAATCTACACCTTGAGGAGGGCAATTCTATTGGAAAGAATGTGCAGACAGAAGAAATCGTCAATTCCTCAGGTCAAAATGGTGGCTACCTATTTTTCTTTAAAAGCTAAACTAAACTACAGCCACAAGCTGGAGAGAAGAATCTGGCCTCACTAAGAAAGCAGAGTTTATAAAAAGCTCCTTGTACTTTTATGCTGGATACACCTCCACAAGGAAGGGGACATGTATTTCTCTGTAAATGACCTTTTTCCACAGCCGATTTCCTCTGCACACCTGTGCATCCATCTGCAAACCTTGAAGTTTAGGATGGAGAACCTGCAAGCTTCCACCTGTGGTTGGACTCCAACTCCAATGACTCTCAGCCAACTTGGTCTCAGGGTGATGGAATTGAAACCCAACACTTCCTGGGTGGCCAGATCTACTTTGCAAAAGAAAAGAAAAGAAAAATGAACAAAAACTTGAGATCTCCACCACAGGTCCCTTTGTCGATCTTTGGATCAGAGCTTGCTGGATCCATCCCACAAGGTCTAGAGTGAAAAAGGGGTCACTTTGAACTGCCCACCCCAAAGAAGTTCTAAATCGTGAAAAGAGCATCTTCTAGAAGCCATGGAGTGATTTTTCTTCTCTCCATCCAGGAAGAAATACGTTCCATACTTATTCCTGATACTCTGTGTATTTCTTGGAGGAACCATAGACACGCTTGGCTGGGTATTTAAGGCGGTTCTTCTCTATTTTACGGAGAGCAGCTGTAGGGAGGTCCACATGGCACTTGTTTGCCAGGGCAACCAGATAAATGAGGACATCACTGAGCTCATCGCTGAGGTCCTCACGCTCCAATGTTGTCCACCCTGGTAGGCCTTCAGGAGCTTCTTCCCGCCATTGGCTGAAAAAGACCACAGACAAAAGCATTGAATGCAAAAAAACCCAACTTAGATGGAGCCAGATTGAAGAGGGGGAAGGAAACCCGAGGGAGATTCTCTTCTCATGAGGTGCTAAACCAAAGTTTTTCAATTTTGGCAAGCCAATATCTGTGGAAAACAGACACCAGAGCCACAACTGAAAACTCCTTCTCTCCCCTTCCTCTTCTTGGTGAATAGAATAGGGCTAGGAAGCAACTGTCCATACTTAGGCTTGCTCTGGTCACAAGTTGTGTCATTTATTTATTTAGTCCAGAAGGAATTATTCTAGCTTTTATCTTAATTTTTTTTTAAAAAAAAATACTTTTTAAAAATCTGATACAAGGTAGTCCTTAAGTTACGACCATTACTGAGCCCAAAATTTATGCTGCTAAGCGAAACATTTGTTAAGTGAGTTTTGCCTCATTTTACAACTTTTTTGCCACAGTTGTTAAGCGAATCATTGCATTTGTTAAGTTAGTCACATGGTTGTTAAGTGAATCTGGATTCCCCATTGAGGCAGCTGGTGATCACATGACCCCAGGACATTGCAACTGCCATAAGTATGAACCAATGGACAAGCATCTGAATTTTGATCATGTGACCATGGGGATGCTACAATGGTTGTAAGTGTGAAAAACGGTCATAAGTCACTTTTTTCAGTGCTGTTGTAAGTTTAGTCATCAAATGAATTGTTTTAAGTTGAGGACTATCTGTAAAGGCTAGGGTAGTGATGGCTAACCTTTTTGCCACTGCATGCCAAAAGCGGGGGGAGCGCGGGGGGTTGCGTGCTCATGCCCACACCCATAATTCAATGTTCCCCCTGCGCATGTGCGCGCTCCCCCCCCTTTTGGCATGCAATGGCAAAAGAGTTACTGGTGGGCCTGGTAGGCCTGTTTTTTGCCCTCCCCAGGCTCCAGAGGTTTTTTTGGAGCGTAGGGAAGGTAAAAACGGCCTTCCTCCCCTGGAGGCCTTCCGGAGGCTGGAAACGGCCCATTTCCTGACTTCTGGTGGGCCTGGACGGCCTGAAAATCATCTGGCTGACATGCGCATGCACGCTGGAGTTGAGCTAGGACAACACTCGCATGCCACAGATATGGCTCCGCATGCCACCTGTGGCACACGTACCATAGTTTCGCCATCACGGGGCTAGGGTAATTATTTCTGGGCTAAATAAAAAACATTACCTGTGCAGGATCTTATCTGGGTTGGTCACTGGGATCAGAGGTTGGTCACTTGGGATTCCAAGCTTTCAGATTCATGCTGGAGCCCATCCTGAGGGGATTCTCTAGGTTAGAGAGAAGTTCCCTCTGGATGGGCTCCATGATGAATTCAAAGACCGAAGAAGACCAAACTTCTGGTCTAGCAGCTGACCCAAATTGGATCCTGCAACATTATCCTGGGGCATGCATATTCACTTTCATTTGCAACATAACCTTTGGAACGTGCCAAATTGATAAACCATTAGAAGTGCGTCATGGCGTAAATAAGAAAAGTCATTTAAGCTCAAACCAAAGAGTCCAGCTGGGCAAAGCAGCATGTCTGGACCCCATCTCCAATTTATTTATTTATTGGAATTTGTCAAACAAAAACGAGAACAAGAATAAGAGAATAAAAATACAATGACAGGGATGATAGTCACATTAGTGCACTTATGCACATCACCTCTACTGACCACTTAAGTATGAAGTAAGGTCCACGGAAGTCAATTTGTGACTGAAACTGTGAAAATTGGCGATATGGATGAGCATTGCAGCAATGGGGAGCTCCAGAGAGCACCTCATCCACATTTTGTAGATCCATGCAGGCCAAATTTTCAACTTGCCCATTTGTCCAATTCGAAAGTTATCCTTGCATTTGAATGGGGGACCCTAAATCCAGGGGACAACCAACTGTACAAGGAAGTCCACTCATCTCTTAGCAGATGTCCTTCAGAGGTTGTCCCATTGCCATAAAGGCTAACTAACTCTTAGCTCTTCCTGTGGTCACACCGGTAGTCCTCGACTTTCAGTTGACTGAGAAAAAACTTAGAACCGATCCTTGCACATATGACTGTTGGTTGCAATATGCCCATGATTCAAATAACTTTATTGCGATCATTAATCAGCAGAAGGAAAGCTAGAAAGCACTCCTCTGCATTGCCTAACTCCTAGAATCAGAATAGAGCTGGGAGGGACCTTGGAGGCCTTCTAGTCCAGTCCTCTGCTCAAGCAGGAGATAGCATGTCAGATAAATGACTGTCCAGTCTCTTCTTAAAAATCTCCACTGATGAAGCACCCACAATGTCTGGAGGCAAGCTGTTCCACTGGTTAATTGTCCTCACTGTTAGGAAGTTTCTCCTTAATTCCAGGTTGCTTCTTTCCTTGATCAGTTTGCATCCATTGTTTCTTGTCCTGCCCTCTGGCGTTTTGGTAAAGAGGATGACCCCCCTCTTCTCTGTGGCAGCCCCTCAAATACTGGAATACTGCTATCATGTCACCCCTAGTCCTTTTTTTCTCTAGAATAGTCAAACCCAAATCCTGCTATTGTTCTTCATGTTTTAGTCTCCAGGCCTTTAAGCATTGTAGTTGCTCTTCTTTGTACTTTTTCCTAGTGGGTGAGCAAATACAGCAGATCTAAAGAAAGACACTCGTGGTCCCCAAGAAGGCATTTTTGGATCTACCACCCCAACTCTTCTCCCCCATATTCCACAGATTGTTATACTCACAAGAGCTCTGCCAGCTCCCCAACCTCTCCAACCAAAGCAAGAAGCAGATTCCGAGGTTGGTGGTACTTTCCCCAGCCCCGCTCAGCTGCAAAGGCCGACTGTAGGCTCCGACTGCAAGAGACAAAGTAGAAGAGAAGATGAGAATGCCCCAGAGACTATCCATACGCTCATCTTCCAAAAAGAGGAAGTGGCTTGAATGAAGAGTAAGTGGGATGAGATAAGGGGGTGTCTCACATTTCTTCCAAAGTGGGACTGGAACTAAACCGAAATGGCACTGGAGATGCGCTGGGCCCATTAGTCACTACTGCCTGATCTACTTCTTCCTCGTTCTTCTTCGTTGAGCAGGCGGTCAAGGAGGCCTAGCAAGGGAAATCAGAATAAAGTGAATTATTTACCTTATTGGGAATAAGAAAATGATCCCATCCCTTTGCAACGGCCTGTTTACAACTGGATTATAAAAAGTTAGATGTACGCTTGAAGTGGAGGGCAGAGAAAAACTTAAAAATGAGTATTTCTGTGGTAGCCTAGATTCTTTCTGTGTCTGAATTTTAAATAAGAACAAAAAAAAAAATCAATTTTGGGTCATAGCTTCTTATAATCACTAGGATTTGCTACTTTATTTTTTCAGGGCAATTTGCAGTTAAGAAAATATTTATAATTTTCTTCGATATTTGTCAGATTTTAAAAATAAAATATTTATTTATTTATACAATGTATTTATAAAATTTATTGGCCGCTTATCTTACGAGGTAACTCTGGGTGGCTTAGTCATAAAAGATAAAAATTGTATAAACTAAAAACATACATTAATATACAAACACTATAGCCCAATTAAAAATGGAGAAGGTGGGAACAGGACTGGGAGAGAGGTGGAATCTGTTTTTAATCGGTCAATCTCCTCCACTGTGATGCTCTCCCACTGGAGCCCCAAGCTAACAGACAGTATCTAAGAGACAAGATGTCAAGCTTGAAGTTGACATACGTGTAGCCATTTTATTTAGCTCCCTCTTTTACTCATTTATTCCTTTACTTTCTCTTTATTGTGTAAGGATTTTTTTTTCTTGGGCTCGCCACATTCTTACAGTGGCAGGGGGAAAGGAGCGAACAGTGAGGATTGTTTTGGCTAAGTGACCTTCTTTCCTGTGGGAACAGAGGCTGCTCCTAGTGAGAAAGAAAGGTGGAGTGAAGACACCGGGCTCAATGGGAATTGAGTGGGGAATGTGACTTTTGTGGGATGTTTTTAAATTGCAATATTATGTGGTGTAATTCCAGTTTGTGTCAGATCTGGAATTACAACAGACTTTGCCAATTTGAGGTCTACCGAAATAAAAGAATTTTGTTTTCAAAAATGGGCTTTGCATATTTCTTTTTTGAATTGTTTTCATCACTTGGAAACCTGACACAAGAAAGTTGACAGAGATCAGATTTGTCTATAGAGTAAGCCACTATGTAACAGAATAACACAATAACAGAGTTGGAAGGGACCTAAGAGGTCTTCTAGTCCAACCCCCTACTCAGGCAGGAAACCATTTCAGATAAATAGTTGTCCAAAAGTACAGTCTCTTCTTAAAAACTTCCAGTGTTCGAGCATTCACAACTTCTGGAGGCAAGTTGTCCCATAGATTAATTGTTCTGGTGTATAATTGGTTTGGCCTAAGCATAGTGTTTTTGCAAACAACCAGGCAATCATAATTACTCAAGAAACTGTGGCTAAACAGCTTAGCACCACATGTGAACTCTGTCATTCACTATCTCCAAAACTGTGGCTTTAAATAATTCTAATAGCCTCCCAAGAGATTCTTAGATTCAAAAAAGGCTCAGGAATTTCTTGAAGATGAGACAAATGATGAATGAGATGCATAAATAAAATAGATACATAAAATAAAACCTCAATGCAATAGATGTGGAGATACAGAAAATGGTTATGGGTGAGCAAATACAACAGAAGCACTATTACCTCTGTTTTCTTGAATATGGTGTTTGCAAGACCGCAATCCTCTGAAACTCTGTTTTCTTCGTCAGTCTGGGACCCAGAAGACTCTGTGGTGCTGTCATGGGCATTGCTGGCCATGTGCTGCTGAGGGTCAGATGGATTCACACACATTTCATGTTTGCAGGTCTGGCAGATTGTCCTCCCTTCCTCATCTATAGTGGCCTGAAACTGTGCATTTGAGTCCGTTTCCTTTCCTTCGTCTCTCTCTGTTGATGCCATAATCAGTTACACCTGGAAGGAAGGAAGGAAGGAAGGAAGGAAGGAAGGAAGGAAGGAAGGGGACAGATGAAAGGGAGGGAGGGAAGGAGAGAAGGGAGGAAAGGTTTAATAAAGTGGTTTGACAAATACAAGAGATACTATTTCAGACATTCTCCTATAACTCATTTTCTAAATAAAAAATCAATATAGGTAGTCCTTGACTTACAATTACAACTGAGCCCAAAATTCCTCTGGCTAAGCCAGACATTTGTTAAGTGAATTTTGCCACAGTTGTTGAGAGAATCATTGCAGTTGTTAAATTAGTAGCAAAGTTGTTAAGTGGCTTCCCCATTGACGCCCTTGGCTTGTCAGTAGCTCATAAAAGATGATCACATGACCCAAAGACACTGCAATGTCATAAATATGAGTCAATTGCCAAGCATCTTAATTTTAATCATGTGACCCTGAGGATGCTGCAACAGTGTGAAAAATGGTCATAAATCACTTTTTTCAGTGCCATTGTAACTTTGAATGGTCACTATACCATCTGTTGTAAGTTGACGAATATCTGTATTGTAGGATATTCTGCTATGTCAGAGCAATCTTAACATCTTCAAAACTTTAGACGTGGCCTCCAGAAACGTCTAGTTTTTAACCATATTTTACTCTGGATAAGTATTAAAAACATAATTAGAGAATAATCACCCTATTTAATTTCAATTATATATAACAAAAATTGAACTCAAATCAACGTTTTTTTTCTCCCAGCTCATCCTTAAGTGTTTAGAGAATAATGCCATGTAAGACCTACAGTTTAGGAAAAATTTGTCCTTCTGTCTTTGAGATGATGAATGTCAATATGCCATTTTCATCTGCAAGGGCCAGGATGGAGTGGAGCTTTGCCATAAAATCATACTGGGTGAAGCAGCTGCCCCAGTGTTCTCCGATTCATTCAGATGCACTCCCAAAACAGCAAAAATCCAGTTTAATCCCAATTTCCAAACCTCCAATTCACCGAAACATAATCCTTACATCCTCAAATTTGGATTTAATCTGAGTCAAGACTTTCCAAAGCTGATCCCCAGCGATGAAGGCTTACTTTCAGTCTGAGGGCTTACACCTCAATCTTCTAGGAAAGGAGTGCCTCTAAGCATATGCAGAAGGCTGTCCTCCTCAAAAGCAGGATTCAAAGCCTCAACATATGGAAGATGCATTTTTGGTAAAGTGATTTCTGATCATCTATCATCACGGCAACAGAAGCGAAATGCCATCCTTATTTAGTTCCATGGGCTATCAGCTTCTTTGCTACTCTTGTAAGGGTAGTTTCATATGCAAGGAATAAAGCAGATTAGGACATTAAAACAATCTATAGCAGCTTTTGAGGTAAAACACCTGAAGGAAACTGAATATCCCTAGGTTTCTCTGCCCCTGGAGGTTTGGTTTTGACTTACCATACTTATTTATTTATTTATTTATTTATTATATTTCTATACCGCCTTTCTCCCGTAGGACTCAAGGCGGTGTACAGTCAAGAAAAATATAGACACACAAACATCATAAAATTGCTAATTAAAATTATTATTATAACATAGTTTGGCCCAAGTACAGTACTGTGGTTAGTAAATCATGACCAATGACATCATCCCTTGCAGGGACACAGTTAACTACGGTTTGTTCAATAATCGTGATGAAACAAACCACCATTTAGCACAACCTGAGCTTTTTCTTTCAGGTCCTACAAACTTCTCACAAGTCTTTAGCTGGATCATCTGGGGCAGTGGTCTGCAACCTTAAACACTCAAAGAGCCGTTTGGACCCGTTTCCCACAGAAAAGCAAACACCGGGAGCCACAAAACCTGGGTGGGTATGGCCAACTCGATGTCACTCACTCCCCCCCAGCCATGCCCACCCAGGTTTTGTGGCTCCCAGTGTTTTCTGTGTGAAATAAGTATCTCTGTCTGTCTGTCTGTCTGTCTGTGTGTCTCTCTCTCATCTCTCTCAGGCCAGGCTACGGTCCAGACAGTGGTGAGTTCAGCCGATAGGGAGCCATAGCAGTGGAACGAAAGAGCCGCATGCGGCTCCGGAGCCGCGGGTTGCAGACACCTGGGGAATAGGAAGCTGGGCTAGATAAATCCCCCCTCCAAGGATTTCACCTTTCATCACTCCAAAATATGCTTCTTTTTAAAAACCAGTTCCAGCCCTAGAAGCTGCAGAACCGCTAAATGGGCTGCTTTCTTCTCCAGTGTTTTTTATCCTATTTTTTAAGGATAGCAGACATGACCATCATCATAAATTAACCAGGATTCCTGGATCCGGGCTGCAAAAAATTCTAGACGATCATTAGATGGCAACAGAGAGGTTAACTTCTTCCAGCCCTCTAGAATTTACAGGGAGTTTTGCAAACCAGATTCGGTAGCCATAAATTCCATGAAATTCAATCAAGCACTGGATGAAATCTCATTTTCTGTGCAATTATTGAAGTTAAACCCACCCGCAGTATGTCTGGTGCTAAATGAATAAAAAAAAAACAGCCACTCAAATTCACCTGGATTTCTGCCGATCGCAGACGGCGACCCACTCAAAGGAACCCCCCCAACAGCAAGCACGCCAAACACAAGCCAGATTTTTTTCCCGGGTTCACTCTGTCTCTCCGCCAATCAACAAGAACCAGTCCGTTGGGCTCTTATTGGTTAGCAGGGTCATGACGTCACCAGCCGCGTTCGCTCGAAGGAAGCCATCAAAACACCACGCCAAGTTTTCTAACCAATCCAAAAGGAAGGAAGTTAGAGGGGCTGGGATCTGCGCCTGATCTCATCCAATCAGAGAAGACGTAAGTCAAAGGAAGAAAACAATACAGTAGATGGAAACAAAGGCTAGTATGCGGAATATCTGGGGGCGGGGAGAAAAGATTTTAAAATAACTCTTTTTTTTCATTATAAAATGGTAATCAGCTGCAGGCACTTTTCATCAGTTCTTCCCCTTTTCTATTAATCAGCGGGAGACCGTGAGTTCAAATCCTGCCTTACCTTTGAAAGCCAGCTGGGTGGCTTTGGGCCAGTTGCTTTCATTCATTCAATCAGTCAATCAGAATAGAGCTGGAAGGGACCTCGGAGGTCTTCTAGTCCAACCCCCTCCTCAAGCAGGAGACCCTTGATCATTTTAGACAAGTGGCTTGCCTGATCAGTTGTCTCATTGTTGTGGGAAAAATAGGAGGAGGAAGCTGGTTTGGATATGTTCGCCTCCTTGAGCTATTTGTGAAAATAATAAAGGCAGGATAAATATTTTTTTAAATAATTAGATACATTTAAATAGTTTTTAATAGATATTTATCCAACCTGCCTGATGGGGAGATCTTTTGGAAACTTTCAGTTTATCAAGAAAAAAAACCCTGGTTCTTATACATTCAAGTGGGGAGGAAAATAAAAGTTTAGTTCACTTATTAATTTTCTTCTATTGGAAGTTAGTTCCCTATAAAACAAATTACAGCCATCCCATATAGCTAGTCCATAGGAACCCTGCAGGCTGAATTGCCCTCTCCAAAGAAGTGTCGATTTCAATAAAATAATTAAAGTTTCCTTTTCTTAACAACTAGTAACAGAGGAAGGGAAGTCAACATCAAGGTGATGTGGGATCCCCAGGTACGGCACTTGCATTTTGAGGAGAGCTGAGACTATCAGATGTTAGTTAACTGGTGCTGTGGGTTGATCAACCTCTGAAATTCCTATTATTGTTGATCTACAACTCCCAACATCCCCTGAAAGCAGGTCCGAGCCTGGGGGTTGCTGGGAGTTGTAGATCAGCAATATTGGGAGTGTTGTTGTCCTCAATTCCTGAATGGTGTGTTGGGTGTGAGTAATTCATTTTTTCCTTTTCTTTCTTTTTGTTACTGAGATCCTGCATCAGTAGTGGGTTTCAAAAAACAGCGCTACTGGTTCGCTCGTGGGCGCACACGGGCATCTGCGCATGAACAGAGACGTCTGGGTGGAGCCTCCCGCTGCTGCTGCTACCGGTTCACCTGATCCGGGGTGAACTGGTAGCAACCCACCACTGTCCTGCATGTTTTGAACTCTGTGGACCTGGGATAGATCAGATAAATCTCATACAGATTTCAGCACTGCAGTGTAAGACACCTTAGCTTCATCCTCCTGGGTGAAGCTGGAAAATGTCCTAGAAAAAGGCCCAAAGAAGACTGTATTATTTAAAAAAAAAATCCTAATGTGGCCACAAAGTCATCAGGATTAAGCTCAACCTGGAAACTTTTATCTTTCACCAGACGAAATTGGGGAGATTTTGATCAGGTACTTACAAATCAACTCCCATGATCCCCAGGCAAAATATCCTGGCTGAGCTATTTCTAACCAGCAAGCCAGATTGATACAACGTGCCATGGCTGAGATCTGGTTTGTGATCCTCTATTGTAGATTGGCTCGGGGCCAGTTGTCATGCTTTTAATAGCAACCAAGCATACAGGTTTATCTAGGCCAGTGTTTCTCAAACTTGGCAGTGTTAAGATGTGTGGACTTCAACTCCCAGAATTCCCCAGCCAGCATGTTCACACAAAGAGTGCAGAGAAGAGCAACAAAGGTGATTAGGCGACTGAAGGCTAAAACGTGAAGAACGATTGCAGGAATTGAGTCTGTCGAGTTTAATAAAAAGAAGATAGTGCTGAACCTATTCTCCAAAGCAGAAGCAATGGAAATTAATCAAGAAGAGAAGCAACCTAAAACTAAGGAGAAATTTCCTTACAGTTAGAACAATTAATCAGTGGAACGACTTGACTCCAGAATTTGTGAATGCTCTAACACTGGAGGTTTTTAAACAGAGATTGGACAACCACTTGTCTGAAATGATAGGGTTTCCTGCCTCAGGGGTTGGACTAGAGGACCTCCAACATCCCTTCCAACTCTGTTATTCTGTTATGTTAAAAGTTGCCAAGGTTGACTTGAAATACACTAATTACTTAATTTTCCCATGCTACAGTGGTCCTGCAAGTACAACAAGCAGAGCCAGTTAAAGTGTGGGGAAAAGTGAGTTCCATGTATTGTAGAGGACAATTCTGTGGGAGTTCCTTTCCAGAAACAGTTGCTCAAGTTTGGGATTATCTGTTTGTATTTTGACTTCAGCTTCAGTTATCAGAGTCTGAGCCAACAGACCAGCTCCATTGAGAGGTTTTCAATATGGAATTCCAATCAACTTCCAAGGGATTTATCCAGGGGTGAAATGCTCCCAGTTCGGACCAGCTCGGGCGAGTAGGTAGTGATGGTGGGCAGTTCGGAGAACCGGTAGCAAAAATCCCTGCCCCCGCCCCCCATGCCCAACTGAGCCGCGTGAACATCAGAGGCTTTTTTTCTTTTAAATGCCTCTGACGAGCCAAGCTCTGACGATTCCAGCTGAGTTGTCTGCCGATCTGGCAACTCAGCTGGGATCGTCAGAGCCTTTTGAAAGCATTTTTTACATGGTTTTACATGTAAAAAATGGTTTTAAAAGTAAAAAAAATTGGCCACGCCCACCCAGTCACATTACCCACCACCACCAAGCCACAGCCACAGAACCGGTAGTAACAAATTTTAGATGTCACCACTGGATTTATCCCAGGTAAATAAGTATTGGAGTCCAAACTGAAGAAGCTACTTTGAATTAAGTTGAGATGCTTTGGCTGCAGTACGGTAAAAATTTTACACAATAAATGGGCCTATTGTGTTTTTTCTTACTTTGGCTTATAGAGTTTTAATTTTAAAAATATCAAGGCACAAAGTATATTAATGATTATATAGTATAAAAAATCTACATACTTAAAGTGATTAATATAAAACAATAAAACAACAGCAAAAAGTAATAAGATCCACATAGTGTTAGGATATATTTCTTTTGTTTTTATTATAAAATGTTTTTAGCATTTTAATTTTGATATATTTTTTTTAATTGTAAGAGTCACTGCTTTAATTGCCCAGAGTCACTGCTTGAGATGGGCGGCTATAGAAACTGAAAAATAAATAAATATTCATCTAGCTGAATGTAATACTTAATCTTACTATTAAATCCACCACATATAAAAATACACCATTTCATCTTTTCATTTTTAGAATATAATGACATTTCAAAAATCAGTAACATCTCGAATCCATTCCTAAACATCAGGAATCTGACTTTCTTTCCATCTTTGTAAGTTTATTTTCTTTGCAAGCCCCAGTACTCTTCATAAAATGACATCCCATAATTTAGAAATATAATTTAACATCAATTAACATCTTTTGCTGTTATATTCCTTTTCAAAATTGTAAGGATAGTTAAAAAGAGGCACTACAGGCACCTGATTTTTGACCCTGTTTGTATAACAACATGTGCAAAATTCAGCTGGATTTTCCCCCACAAGGAAATATATTAGGATTGGCAATTTATCTGGGTGTCTTTGAAATCTCCACTGATGTGCAACCGATTTCCAATAATTGCTCCTTGACAGGAGTGTTGTAAAGTTCTTTTGTCCCTTTATGTGGCTAATAGAACTTAAAATCTTTTTATGCCCACAAAGGAACTTTGTCAATTGAGCTGCCTGAGTCTGGATCTCCAGTTGCTGTGGGATTTGTTTAGATTACAACAGCCAAGGTCCAAAGTGCCAAAAAGAATCATCAGAGTTCTAATCCCACCCCTCACCACAGAGCCTCCCACCTCCCAGGAATTCCAAAAATTTACTTCGTAGAACCAGTTGGACAAGAGAAAAGACTACAGAGCGGACGATACCAGGAAGGCCAGATCAGACCTTCAGGTGAGCAGCTGGGCCCCCCTTCTTTTAGTTTGCCACGAGTGGGATCTGGAGAGAAATAAAGAGCAGGGTTGATCAATGTAAAATGAAGTTCAAGAAGTAGCAAAAGGACCACACCGCTGCTTTACTTGATCTCCTTTTTCCTGGCAAGGAACCCGAAATACAATAGTTTTCTTGAAATTTTATGTTTCTTTATTTGCTTGGGGGAGGTTTCATACGTTTAATGGGTTGTCTTGGGCTGCTTTAAGATTTGATCATGCCCATTGAGAAGTGGCTCCAAATTGGCAGAGGTTGCAAATCTTCCCAGAGGTTGCTTATCTTTTAAGGGGGGAATAGTAGAATTAAGTGCCCATTTCTTTAGGAGGTAAAATTGATACATGTCTTTGTTGCCCTTTTTGAGGAAAAATCTTCCAAAAGGTACAATGCTGTTAACTTTTTAATGTTCAGTTAATAAGTGAGGAATTACAGAGCAAGCTTCCTAATTGTTAATCTGTGTATTCTTAACTTTTCCTGACACTAACATTACAGTATTGATTCAGGCTTCTCTGTGCAATGGGAATTACTGGGACTAACGCATCTGAGCTTTAATTCATTTTGGATGAAAAAGAACTGGAAACTTAGAATATTTCTGTAAAATTGATTTGAATCAGAAATGTTTATGAGGGATTCTGAAGTGGGATTCCCAGAGTAAGAAGGATAGTATCACCGTATAGATAGTCCTCACATTATGACTGCAATTTTGACTAGAATGTCTGTCACTACATGGTGTGATCATTAAGTGAGCCGTGCCTGATTTTATGGCCTTTTTTTGACATGGTTGTTAAGTGAATCACCATGGTCATTAAGTGACTTATGCAATTGTTAAGCAAATTCTCTTTCCCATTGACGTTGGTTGTCAGAAGCCTCCAAGGAAGTCAACGATGGGAAATCACGTGATCCCAGGATACTGCAACTGTTGTTTGTACATGCTGTTTCCCAACACCCCAATTCTGATGACATCACCATGGCGATGCTGTGGTGGTTCTAAGTCCAAGGACCGGTTGTAACTTTTCAGCGCCCTCGTAACTTTGAACATTCATTCATTAAATGAATGGTCATAAGTCAAGGACTACGAATACACACTTGCCTTTTGAGCCACACTCTTAAAAGGTATAGGAAGCCAATTGAGTGTTTGGTAGGTATCTTAAAATTAAAGCCTAGAAATTGGAAGTGAGAATCATGGAATTTGTGTGCCTTCTGGAGTTCTGAAGCCAGCCCGGCCCATCCCTGTGGTTGCACAATGACGTGCAATTTCCCAGTTGCCCTTGACCCCAAGTGCCTTTGAACTGTCCCCCTTAATTTCAAAGTTAGTTTTCACCATTCTTGTATGGGGAACAGTTAAGAATTGTAACAGAGATAATATATACACTCCTTATGTTGTACTCGGTCTCAGCCAGCAATAACCAACAATATTTGCTTAATAACAATCATGGCAAAAAAGATTGTGAAATATGGCCCAACTCACTTAGCAAGTGAGTGCCTTGCTTAACAATGGGAATTCTGATCCTAATTGCAGTCATAAGTCGAGGACTGCCTGCACAGCTTGTCCTCGGCTTGACCACAAATGAGCCCAACATTTCCGTTGCTAAGTGAGCTATTTGTTAAGTGAGTTTTGCCCCATTTTACGACCTTTCTTGACGCAGTTGTTAAACAAATCACCCCAGTTGCTAAAATTAGTAACATGGTTGTTAAGTGAATCCGGAAAAAATGGGATCCCATGACCTCTGGGACATTGCAACCACCCCAAATATGAGTCAGTTGCCAAGTGTTTGAATTTTGACCACCTGACCATGGGGATGCTGCAATGGTCATAAAATGGTCATAAGTCACTTTGTTCAGTGCCATTGTAACTTCAAACAGCCACTAAATGAGCTGTTGTAAATCCAAGACTACCTTATTGTCTGGTACTACAACTTGGCCAACATCCTTGTGGTTTTCTTTTAGTCATCATGGCTTCCCACCCAAACCTCTCACACCTTCTCCCTGCTGCCCGATTGCGTCAACTCGCCCGAGATTGGTTGCAAGAAGATGCTCCCAGCTTTGACTATGGTGGCTACGCCGTAGGCAACCATCAAGTGTGTGCTGTGCTCTTCTGCAAATCTCCTGGAGTCTTAGCCGGTTTCCCATTCTTCGAAGCTATCTTTGCCGAAGTCGGCTGCTCGGTGGAGTGGCTCCAAACCGAAGGAACCTGGGTTGAACCCGTCACCCGAGTGGCTGAAGTCCGCGGGCGTGCCAATGACCTCTTGCTGGGCGAGCGAGTAGCTTTGAACTGTCTGGGACGCTGTAGTGGTGTTGCCACATCAGCAGCAAAAGCTTGTCGGGAAGCACAGGAAGCTGGGTGGCATGGAGAGGTTGCTGGGACAAGGAAGACCACGCCGGGGTTCCGTCTCCCAGAAAAATATGCACTTCTAGTTGGGGGATCCTCCTGTCACCGCTATGATCTGGGAAGCCTCATCATGTTGAAGGACAACCATGTCTGGGCCTCTGGCAGTATTACACAAGTGAGTACACAAAAACGAAGGTGTTTATATTATACAATGATTGTATAGCCTGCAACCATCTAAATCCATGATGACTAGGTGGCACGTGGAGCCGTATCTATGAGCATGCAAGCATTGCTCTAGCTCACCTCCAGTGCACAGGCACGTGCCGGTCAGCTGATTTTCGGGCCTTTTGGGCCCACCAGAAATCAGGAAATGGGCTGTTTCTGGCCTCTGGAGGGCCTCTGGGAGCGGGGGGGGGGAGCTGTTTTCACCCTCCCCAGGCTCCAAGGAAGCCTCTGAAACCTGGGGAGGGCGAAAATAAAGGTTTTCCCGTATCTTTCTACTGCCACCTAGGGGTTGAACATGAGTGTGGCAGTCCAGCTTTGATATTTATTTATTTATTTTAATTTGATTTATATGCCGCCCTTCTCCGGAGACTCAGGGCGGCTTACAATGCGTTAAGCAATAGCCTTCATACTTTTGTATATTTATACAAAATCAGCTTATTGCCCCCACAAACTGGGTCCTCAATTTACCTACCTTAGAAAGGATGGAAGGCTGAGTCAACCTTGAGCCTGGTGAGATTCGAACTTACAGTAATTGCAGACAGCTGGTGTTAATCACAATGCTATCAGTCTGCTGAGCCACCAGGCCCTTTCAGGTTGATATATAAATCAACCTTTAAAAGAAATGCCTAAATCCAATATAGAATCAGATTTACCCAAAAAAAAAAAAAGTAAATTTAAACGCTCTGTATTATTCATTAAATTGGTGTTCATCTTAAAATCAGCATTGGTTGCAATCTTCATTCAGTTTTGCATTATTATATGTGCTATGTGATAATGTAGTGAGGGGGTGTACACCTCAATTTTGTTAACCATCACTTGTTATCTAGATTAAAAATTACATTGAGCTATAGACTATAGTTTCACAAACAACAATGGACAGATTCAGAATCATTTTGGCTTTTTTGACCTGGTAGGACCCTTTTGCTGTTATACTGTTTTTATATTTTATTAATAATTTAATTTAAATTGTTGCAAATTGATTGCACCTTTGGAAATAAAGGAGAGAATTATTTTAAAGTTTTTTTTAAAAAAAAATAATCTCCTTTTGTTGGCTGGGATTGTTTGCAGCAGGGTATCCCAACCTTGGTGACTTTAAGATGCATGGACTTCAACTCCCAGAATTTGAAGCTGGCTGGGGAATTCTGAGTTGAAGTCCACACGTCTTAAAGTCGCCAAGGTTGAGAAACTCTGGTTTGCAGAATTAGAATCTGCATACAGGTTTAAGCAGGCCTGATAGAGGCCCTCAAAGGACCCAGTATAAGAGACCAGCTGTCCTAAGGTGTATCTTCTATAGGAGATCTTTTCATGGAGGATCCAGCCAAATGGCTGGCATGAGTATCCCTAAGGTTAGCTCAAGCTTCTGCAGGCATCGATATATAACCTGGACCACTGCCAATCTCACAATGTTTGCAATCACACAGGCAGTTCACAACGCCCGGCGGGTTGGTGGCTTTGCCCTGAAAATAGAAGTGGAGTGTGGCTCCTTAGAAGAAGCTCTTGAAGCATCAGGGTGTGGCGCTGATATTATCATGCTGGACAACTTTGCTCCTGAGGTATTTGGCTGAGAGAAGATGGGGCAGAACTAGAAACTAAAATTTATGACTGATTTTCTTATTTAAAAAAATAACAATGGTTTGGTTCTTTTGCATTGATTATGGTTGGAATATTGACATTTGGAAGCTAAAATAGTTTCAAAGATTGTTAAGAGGGCTGCTTTAAAATAATCAGACTCAAGATTGCATCTTCCTTTTGAAATCTTTGTTTTCCCCAAATTATAACCAGCTGCCATTTCCTGGAAACAGGAATTAGGTTGCTGCAGGGTTTGGTTTAATTGTATTATTTATTTAGAATATGTATGTGTCACTACACATGACAGAAATTCTTTGAAGGGATTTACACAGTGAAACATGGCATACAAACATGTTTACAGTTTACAGTTTACAGTAAAGCTGGTTAAACATGTTTACAGTAAAGCTGGTCACACTTCCAATGTGGACAAAGCTTTGACGTGGGCATCTTCCACCCTTGAACAAAACATGATTTGTGAAGGTTCTGCTTCTGGAGAGGCCTTCAGGACCCCAGATTACATGTTGTGTATTTTAAAAAAAACAATCTTGTATCATGTGGGACTATTCCCTCACTTGGCTTGCACCCAATTTGGATCTCATTTCTATATATATTCATAAGTCTGATAGATATCATCATAAGACTGCAAAGGTTTGGTTTCCCTCGTCCTCTTGCTCATCTCTCTTTATCTTCTTCTGCAGGACTTGCATCCTACAGCCAGCACCATAAAGGCCTCCTTTCCCCGTGTCACCATTGAAGCTAGTGGAGGAATCACTGAGGAGAATGTGTCACGTTTTGTGGGGCCCAATATTGATGTGATCTCCCTGGGTTGCCTCACCCAATCAGCCAAAGTGGTAGATTTCTCCCTCAAAATCAGCCGGGATCAAACTCCCAAGCCGTCACTGCGCAATTTCGTTTTCTGAGCCGATAGGATAGCCAGCCAGTCCCATTAAAATATTTGGGAATTGGGTAGTTGAACAGGTAACGGGCTGATTTGTATCTGCTGCTTATTAACTGTGCTGATCTAAGATGATGGGAGTTGTACTCCAAAATGTCTGGAAGACAGGGGAAATTTCTCGTACAGGGTTTGCTTGGTAAAACCTCCCTAGGGATTTTTTTTAAAGGATTATTTTCTTTCACAGGATCATTGGAACAGAACCAGCATCAAGGTTGAAGGGAGGGCAACTGGGTTTGCTGTCATAACTTCTTCAGCATATGTGATTTTTTACTGCAATAAAATGTATGTCATTTCCTTCCCACTTTCTCTTAATCTGTGCCTTGCATGTCTGCTGCAATCAATTTCATTAAGCTGGCCAAATAAACCTTTTTAAAAAAAATTAGTTGTTCCATTGTCATTTGTCAAAGTTGTCATGGCCAGCAACATCAGCTTTGCTCTCATCTTCCACACCTTGTTTTCCCAGAGTTGGCATGCATCTGTACGTTATGTCCAATCTCTGAGTTGTCCAACCTTGCACTTAGCCAAATTGTGGTACTTTCTATCTTCGTCACATCTCACCTATTAGTCTATTGCATTCCTCAGCACTATTACACACTTTCCAGGGCAAATCACAACCAGACGTAGCTGAAGGCTTCCTGGAATTTTCTTCCAGACACAATGAATTTGAGTTGAAACTTTAGAGTCTCAAATCTAATTCTCTGATGAATCCCCGCAGTGGCTTCCTCTTCCTTAAAATTGTGGCAACCTTTGTGAAGCCATTTATTTATAAAAATAAATGTGTAAGTGAAGCAATATTAGGCCTGCTACCTGAGTTTAAAAATTTTACATGATTAATTAGCCTATTTTAATCAAATAACTCTTTAAATTGAATTATAGATTAAAAACAACTTGTTCTGAATCCAGAAGCAGACATTCTTTCCTTTAGATGAGTCTCTAGTACTAGCAACATAAGAGGTGATCTTGTCTCTTTCTTTTATAGAAGAAGGAATGATCATTTAAAATAGTACTAAGGATGTGTCTCAAAACTATTTTCTAACAATTGTACTGGCCACACTAAAAACCCTGAGTTAATTAATTAATGATCGCAGTGCTAAAAGAAAGAAAAACAATCACATTCAGAACCTGAAGCTAAATTAGTTTTAGAAATGGGAATAGGGGCACCATTTGGATCTGTGCTAATATTCTGTGGCCTGAGCAGACAAGCAGACTGTGAAAACAAGGGCATTAGAAATAGAGCTGTCCTCATTTTTATTAAGACATTTGATGGTGTGAAGTCCCAGTTAGGTTAAATCTAGTTGTAGTGAATAGGGTCGGTTTTTTGGGGGGCATAATTTTTCTCCCCATAAGATAATAAATAACAGATTGAGATGTTTGTTGTTTGGTTACAAAATTGTGGATCATCAGGGACCAGCATAAATGAAATTCCCCAGCCTGGGAGTGTCTAGGTGGATTTCCCCACAAAGCAAGGGTGAAAAAAAATATCAGGTTTTATTCCCCTTCTTTGTCTTCTCCGTGTGTGATGACATAGCAGATGTTCTTGTAGTCAACATTGCCAGCTACATCTGGAGGGAAAGCGTGCCACATGTTCTTGATCTGCCAGAAAGAGAAGATTTATGTTGAGAAGTGATAGGATTGCAGCTGATGACTTTCAATATTTTGAATTGTCAGTCTAAATCAACTTTAGACTAGTGGACTTCAACTCCCAGAATTCCTCAGCCAGCTCCTTAGCCATGAAAGAGGATGATCGTGCTTGTTGGCACTGCACAAGAAGAGCTGTGGCTGGCTAACAAAAGAAGGATATCTCATAAACGCTTTGTTTAATGTGCTATTCAGGATTTGGATTTGTGTTAAAAGAGAACAATGTAGATTGTTATAGATTTTTTTCCTGGCCTAATCCCCTCAGTTTCTGATTTTCAAGTATGGTTTTGCTCGCTGTGGTTAAGCTGATTTATGTGCAAAGAGAATGTGAGTGTTAATATCTGTTTTTATTCTGTGGTAACAGAATAAAGTGCTATGCAATCCTTGGAAGAATCTTATTAAGTTGAAAAAAAAGTTCAGCATTGACTCTGGCCTTAGACTGACCTCATATATATTTAAAATTAATGTAATGATTCAATGAAATCAATACAGTATATCCAGATTATCTTTTCTCCTTTTCTCCTAGTTCTACAGATTTTAGATTGAATTGTTGACAACACGGAAAAATAACACTGAAGTAAAAGATCTGGGCTAGGGGACTCTTAAATCGAATAAAGAAAAGAATGGGACATGAGCAGGATGCAAAGAAATTTTCTTACCTCTTCTTGAGTGAACCGGTCACACTGGGTAGTCAAGAGTTCTTCCAAGCTATAGCAAGACAAGGAGAAACATGGTATGTGACAAAGGCCCTAAATATATGTGACTTCTGATCCAACTGTCATCTAGAATATAATTTCATGGCAAGATATGGGTTGCTTAAGCAATTAATCAGGAGGAATATTGCGAAGTGCCTACAACATGGAGGAGGAGATAATGGGAACCTAGTAACAGCCATTTTAGATTTAGGTCTGAACGAATTCAGTGTCCCAAAGGTGCTTTTTCAGGAGGCAAGTGGCCTTTCTTGTTTTTTCTTTTGAAGACATTCTGCTTGTCATCCAAGAAATTTCTTCAGCTCTGACAGGATTCCCCACTATCCTGTCAGGGCTGAAGAAGCTTCTTGGATGAGAAGCGAAACATCTTCAAAAGAAAAAACAAGAAAGGCCACTTGCCTCCTGAAAAAGCACCTTTGGATGTCTGAGAATCTCCACAGACTTTTAATGGATTCAATGCTTCTGCTGGAAGTGAAATGGGAGGTAAACACTCACAATTTCTTCTTGACAGTCCCCTTGCCCTCGGGGTCCAAAACTTTGAAGGCACCAATGATGACGTCCTCGGGATCAGCACCTGATGAGATAAGACAGGAAGAGTAGTGAGATGCTGGAACAGGTTATCTGTCATAGAAGAAGACTGAGAAGAAAAAGAGACTCACTCACCCTTCAGCTTCTCCCCAAACATGGTGAGGAAGACAGTGAAGTTGATGGGGCCACTGGCCTCCTTGATCATGGATTCTAACTCCTCATTCTTCACATTCAGGCGACCTACACAGAAAGGAAGAAAGTTTAACTGCTGAGGATTTGATTTAAGGGTCTGATCATCCATCCAGCTTTCTTTTTTCTTACCCATAGCAGCAAATGTATCTCGCAGGTCCTCCTTGTCAATGATGCCATCTCTGTTCTGGTCAATAACAGTGAAGGCCTAAGAAGCCAGGACAGAAAGAAATACATTAACCAAGTTCATACATTACATTAAATGGGGTTGTTGAGCTATTCACAATGGCTTGGTCCAACTGCTACACCAAGCAAAAACTAAAGAAACCACATTATAGCATAGCATAATACATGAAACCAACATGTTTGGGCTCTAGAAAATTCACCTTCCTCTCCCTGTCCTACCAAAATGAACAGTTGCCAGGATCTCAAAATGGCAAACTAACTACTTTATAATAGCTTTTGGATTTAAACCTATCCACTCTCAACACACATCTAAACTGACTATGTATGCTATTAAAGGAGAATATTTGTAGCTCAGGGTTGACATGAGGGGTCTCTGAGTTTGCTTGTTTTCTTGGAGACGTTTTATTAAATAGCATCTAAGTAACAAACAAACATCATCAATGGTAGTAAGGAGTGCTTATCTAGTTTGATAATGAAACGTCTGCAAGAAAACAAGCAAGCCCAAAGGATCCCTCATGTCAACCCTGAGCTACAAATATTCTCCTTATTAGCATACATCAATGGTTCTCAACCTGTGGGTTGGGACCCCTTTGGGGGTCAAACAACCCTTTCACAGGGGTCACCTAAAACCATTGGAAAACACATATTTTCAATGGTTTTAGGAATAATTTTATGGTTGGGGGTCACCACAACATGAGGAACTGTATTAAAGGGTCGCGGCATTAGGAAGGTTGAGACCCACTGGCATACATAGTCATACTCATAACTATATATGTGTTATGTTGTCACAACTTAGTAAAGTAGAGGCCTTCATTTCTTAAGAGGAGCAAGAAAGCTTTTTCTGCTTTTCTGAGAACTGGTTCATCACTTGCCATCACTTCATATCAAGTGGCATGTAATTAACCCACAGCAGGGGAAACCTGTGATGAAATTGTTTTGATCATTGTTTTGGATAGCAGCCAATGGACAAAACCAGCAACATGGGGTAGGCGGAAAGATAGGCAGTTGTGATGTCATGACTGAACCCTGCCTCTTTGTAGAACAAAAGGGTGGGACTTTGATCACAATGACCAGCTTGCCTGCTTTGGACTTGTCCCTTGTGGATACCCTCAGCTGCAGTGCTTTTTCTAGATGCAATTCATGGCTTTAATTCATTTAAATTCAAATGTATTCATCAAGTTTTAATTAATTAAAGCAGGGATCAGGAATTAGTGATCTTCTAGATATCTGAGAGTTTCCATTCTTATTGCTGTTAGTTAATGTGATCAGTGATGGAAGCCTGCCAGAACTGTACCCCAACTCTAAATTGAGAACCCAACATTATCTGTTCTTAAACTGGGTTAACAAAAGAACATGTATGAATAGACAATTTATACAATCTGCAACATATATGATTCTTGAATGTATATATCTACCTATGTTTATTACTTAATAATTATATAGGTGATATATAAGTGGAAAACTACATAAAAGCCTACACTTGAATTATCGTAACAGTATGTAATTTTTTTCCATTTCACAGCACAACCATCCTTATGGCTGAGCCATATGGAATGCCACCTTTAGTCTGGCACAAACATCCTTTTAGAAAGAATATTTCAACTTGCAGTAGAAAAGATTCTGGCTGTGAAAACTGGTGTATAACAGGCAGGAGAAATAATTATGGGATTTTGAATGACAAATAACTTCTGTATCCCTCTCTCCTCCCAGTATTTTGTGCAAAGCCCTTCTGGCCTTCAGCAATGCAAATTGGATACAGCTTTGATTCCAAATACACATCGTAACAGCAAAAGCTCAAGAAATAAATCAGTGAAAAATACAGTAATTCAGTATTGTTGACAAAGCTGGTTATTATGATAAGGGAGCTTCTAAAGAATCATCTTTGGCTACATGCATGCAACATCAAGGCACAAATTGTGTTGACTCAATTGCAAGAGCTAGATTCATACAATACATTAATCCAAATTAAATAAAAGTATATCTTATTGTGATACCAAATCCAGCTGGATTTGTGTATCACAATAAGCTATACTTTTATTTAATTTGGAT